CCGCTGGCTCGTTCGCATGCATCGCGGTACACACCGCTGAAAATTATCATCCTGCGTTTGATTGTCGGGAGGAAACGCAGTAGGAATGGCGTGCATTCATCCGGCGCACTTGATGCGACCATTGCATCGCCCGACTTTCGTGCAGCAACCTCGTTGCGACATCCCGCGCTGAAAGGCCCTCCTTGATACGCGGCAGATATCCCGTAAATGGTCGTACGAGGGCCCTCGTGCAGGGAAAAGCGGATTGCCGGGCGAGGGACGAATGTCGGCGGGTTCCCCTGCGCTGGAAAGAAATTAGTGAGGAAGGAAAAAACATCGTTCTGTGCCGCGTAAACGCTCGCGAAATCTTGACGAAGCCGCTGCGATCAAGCGGGGGCACGTTTATTATGGTGGTCTCATTGTGTTACGACTGTATACAGCATGTCGAGTATTATGTTTTTTAATTGTGCATTCCTTCGAGGATATCATTCGTTATTCGAAATGATGTTATATTGGTTATAATAATGGAAATTTCGTTTATTTTGGATACTTTGATATCATAATTTCTTACAGTTACAGTTACAGGAAATCATATCAGAACAATCTTAAGTGGTTCGGAACATTACGAACCGTAATTTTCTTCTTTTTAAATTTCACTTTTTTTTTTTTTTTTTTTTTTTCGAGCTTTCAAGCTCGTCGGTATTTTTTTAAGTGAGGCTATCTATATATCTTTTAGATGTACTTCTTTACTTTCTATAAAACTAAATATATTTTGAATTATTTTGGAGAAATGATTAGTTTGAAATGTATTTTATCTTTAACTTTAAAATACATAGAATATAAAATACATAAAATTAAAATACATAAAATACATAGAATATGTTACGTCAAAAGTAAAATGTCCGAATACCTTTCCACGGTAGTATATACATTTAAATATGTTCGCTTTTTCCCCTATTCTTCCATAATGGTTTTCTTCTTAATTGTTAAAAAGTTATAATAAGAAGTTTCTGTTGGTACCTTGGAGATTTCCTTGGTACAATGTTGGCATGTTACGAATGAGCGTGAAAATATCGAAACGATACAATAGTATTTTCGTTTCTATGGAGTAAAAGCACGAAAAAGTCTTTAATCGTTTGTTCCCGGGATTTTGTATGCACCATAAAAACTGGGGTGGAAACGTCTCGGTGAATTTCGACGATTGTTCCCGCGTCTCAGGCCTCTGAGTGTTACCGTTTTTCCGCGGATTTGTGGCCGGGGTTCCGCTGGAACGTTGCCTCGATAAGAATGGCGTCTTGCATTGCATTGACACAAACTGAATGCAATTCACCTGCGTTTATCCAAGCGATTCTTCAGATTGTGTTTCGCGCGTTTTTCGCTGGTGGAAGCGATTCTTCGAAGGAAGAAATCTGCCCCGATATTATTCTATGTTTGTCCCCTTCTGACTTTTCACTGGAGAAAACTTCTTGCCACGGAGCAAATTCGATTGTCGTTTCGAGTGACACGGCGCACGAAAATAATTGTCGTAGCTGGCGAACAGTGGCGAGGAAGAAGTTCAGCGGGCGAAATTCACGCGCGAATAAGGCGCTGGGCATTGTTCGAAATGGGAAAGGCTTGTTTTTCGTGGCGACCTCGGCCAAAAACTCGTTCAGCGAAAGACTTTCCGCGCGGTATTCGACGACTCCGTTGGAACGCGCCGCGAGACAATCGCGTCGATGGCAAAACGGTCTGCTGCTTGATAAATGTCCAACCCTTTATCAGGGTCGTCACAGAGGGCCACCTAAGTGGTTTTCTTAATTATTTAGTTCGGAAGTTCTTGTTCCTTCGGTGGGAATTTTGTTCTGAATGGAAAGAAGGAGCTTTCAAAACTTTATTCGAAGAGACATCTGATGCGACACGCTCTTCACACTTTCGATGGCCAACTTTTTACTTTAAATTATTTGTGTCCTTCGCTATTCAGGAAGTCAGGTCAATTAATATTATACTTTTTGCAAGAAATCTACCGACGAACATTGCAAATTCCCTCTGCTACGATTATCGAGTCGTCACACAATATTGCTCCGTTCTATCGCGCACTGCGAAAGGTTGAATACATCCATTAGCGGTGAAAAAGGGGTGGCGGAAAGAGCAAGCACGTGGCATCGTCTTTTTCAATCAGCCTCAGCTAGCATCAGAAAGGCTTCCGGTTTTCCCTACAAACGTTCTTGCTTTTGTATATAACCCGAATGGATTGCGTATCCACCTCGGTATCGTTTCAACTATATTTAATTAACTAATCATTCACGTTGTACGAAGCCAGAATCAGTTCGATTCGTTACAATCTTTCTTTCTATTTTTCAACTAAATTATATGAGTTACCGTGATAACTCGTGGCATATGTTGCCATCAGTGATTCTAGTGGATCCCAACGATGCTTCGAATACGATTTTACTGTTTTGCATTCGGGCCAAATGTCCAGGAACATTATCGAGCGCTTTCAAGATGGATCGACAAGGTGGCACAAAGAACGACGCTTTAATAATGCAACCGAGTCAAGAGGAAACGAATTCTCCTCATTCCACCCCCTCTCGGTGAAGGGGCCTTTTCTTCGACGCTGTTCGATCCTCGAGGATGCCACTTTTTCATTTATGACAGCAACGTCGAGCACCTCGGGTCCAGGCATTGCGAAAACAGTTAGGCGCATTATATTATCCGTAGGACAGAGTTCTCGATTCAAAGTGGACATTGTTTCAATTCGTTCGACGAAAACAATGGCATAGGAGTCGAGTGCTTGTACGTTGAAACACTTTTGCCTAGCAGTCAGCGCCGACAATGATCTCGTTAAAGAGGCCTGACCGGCCCACTTTGGATCCGATAATGCTTTTCTTTTCAACCTCTTTTCACCCTACTCTCTCGATCGTTGACATCTTTGTTTCGCGGTGAGTAGAGTCTCCAGGCTGTGTCAGTTTCTTCTTTTGACTTTTTCGGCACCGAGTGGGTCTCGCAACGGATGTCGGTCGACGAGGGTTGAAGTTCCGCTGCAACTGTGACCTCTCGGGATTATTTCGCCGTAATTCTCGCTCTGTTTGTTTTTTCAATATGGTCTATGTATTTGTGTTTTCATTATCATGATCGTGAAGAGTATTCAAATTTTGAGGAATATGATATAGATACGTACGGATATACATAAACAGTTTTTGTGTAATAGGAGAAAGATATGAGTCTGTCAAACGTCGTACTGATTGACTCCAAATTTTTTGATGTTATTTATCCAGGAGTATAATTAGGCCATTCTATATTTATAGTGCTTCAAACTATAAGAAACTTTAAAAAAATGTTTAAAGATCCTATAGGAAAAGAAGTATAGGAAGAACATTTTTCATAATACGTAATTAGTTGAATTTACTTCACTTGGTTTAGTTGAATTTTCTTCATTTCCCTATTTATGCGCTTGCCACTGTACGCCCTTTATATCAGAAGAGTTGAAATTATAAAAAGCTGTTTTTAAAATTTAATTACAGTTTACTTCGCAAAAGGTGCCACTAGTCCCTTTCATACTCTCGCATTCATAATTTCTATAATAACTGTTTCACGTCATTAAGCATTCGAAAAAATTGAATTAACAATAATAACAACCCCTAAAATCAACGACGAAAGCTGTCGTTCAAATTTCTCGTGGCGCGGAAAACACATTAACAGTATCGAATAAAAAGTTTGAAATGCGAGCTGTGACTAAAGGGTGGTCAAGAAGTTTGGCTGCAAGTAGCAGGGAAAAAGGAACTTGCGCCCCGTTATCGATACGCGAGAACGCATAAGAGTATATATAATGTACACACAGCATCAACCCGTAGAGAAAAAGAAAGAAAAGGAGAGAGAAAAGTACGCACCCTACTGAGGAAACGGGCCAACAGAGCCAGCGGGGTTTCTTAGGGTGAAAGAAGTAAAAAGATCCCCGTGCCAATACAATTGACCTCTAAACAGAGGGTAGTTATACCGAAACGCAATGCCCATTGGGGCGACACTGAAGACGAAAACCGACCGATTCTCCTTCTTCCTCTTTCCTACTTGTGTCCCATAAAAGCAAAGGGTGGCCACCTTCGACCGAATTGGGGCGAAACTTTTCAATGCACCGACCGAACGAGCAGAGAGAAAAAATTTTATATATATTATATATATATGCATACGTGTATGTAATAAGTATAGGTGTATAGGAAAGGGAGTACGACGAGAGGTGCCGTTTGACGAGAACCTGACGTCTCTCTGCTTTCTTCCCGCTTTTATATTTTCATTCTCTTTTCCCTAAGGCTAGCTGGTGGCTTTGAATAGCCGCTCCAGCCTCTTCAATGTCGCAAGGAAATTCGAGGTTACGAATTTTGTTCGACGACTCTCGCCATTGTCCCGCAGCTGGCGCGGCGTTGCGCTGTGCGAAACCTTCGTTCCAAGGATTTCGATCTTGATTCCAAATCGCTTTGGATCCGTACGATACCTGACACACTCGATCGATCTGTTCGACGACCTCGAATCTTTTCGATCAAATATCCATCTTAATGCTTTGACAGTGGTTGGGGTTGAAATGAGTTTTTAGGGACAATCACTGGTGCACCCGATTTTTTCGATTGATTCCAATGCATTTTACTTCTAGTTTTCAAACAATTGAAAATATTCGTGTCATTCTCGAGTTTCTTAAAATTTTTTTCTTCATAAGAATTTTAATTCTGTTTAAGGATATTCTTTTGTTTAATTCAATCGTAATACGACTCGTTTGATAGCAGCTCAGATTGAAGGTAGAAATAACAGAAAGAAGTTGATTACTGAAATTCATAGAGTCATTTATTACTTTGATGTCTAAGTAATAATAAATAAAACCACATATATGATAAAAGGCTTTGTTCCTTTTTTTCATCGACCCCCGTCGTTGATCGTTGTCGATGATAAAATTCTCTCTGTTCGATAAATCACTGTTAAAAATGAAACCAGCTCGTGTGAATTTCGATCGATCGCTCAACGAACATCATTCACATTAAATGTATTTTACACAGCCGTGCTTCGGACAAATAATAACAATTTATTTATAACGAAACACAAATTGTACCTGGACTTAACACATGTATACACGTATGATGGACGAACTTATATATGTACATATATACACTCTTATCGATCACGTCGACAATTTTGGTTTTCGCTCTCGCACTTATACACTACAATATTAAAACGTGTGTACGCAACATTAGACATATAGTTAGTATTATACATATATTCCATACATAAACAAATCTAGGAGTAAAAGAATGAAGATAAAGATTAAGGGATAAAAATTTATTATAATACACGAATGTATTTTTCAGACACAATCTCTCTCATTTCCCCCCTTTAAATAACTTTAATTACGATACAACAATATCTTACGTGTGCGTGCTTTAGTCAGAACAAGTGGTACACAAATATCAACTATTTAAAACTACGAAAAAACACGTACGCGTGGATTTGTCATAAGTACCCGTGAGAAATACAAGTATACGTGGAAACTCTCAATAAAATCACAGTTAACGATTGGTCCATCTACATTTGGACCATAGTCAAAATGCTTTCAAGATGAGTCTAATAAAATGGTGCTGCGAACAACTAACAAGAAACGACTCGAAGACAATACATATCCTTACTGTCGTACCTGTACGTACTTTCACGAAAAAATTGTTTGATTAATTCGTTAAAAGTAATTATTGTCCAGATATGATTATATATGCTAATAGCACAATAAGAATACATAAAATCCAAGAATTTTTACTCATTTGTCGTTGGAAACACCATTTCCGGGGATAATCGTAAATATATAATATAACATAATATATAATTCATCTAATATTAACTAATATAAGTTAAACCCCATAACAGAATAGGAATATCGTTTGCTTTTCACGAATTCGTCGTTTTAGGTCTTCAAGGTAGATGATACGATCGTTTGCTTAAAACGAGCCCGCTGTCCGTAGATCTCGCTCTACGTTAGTCATTACCTGTTTTTTTCATACAGTTCTTACTTGTACACATTTATACAGAAGAGTTTTTTTGGAATTTTGAGTAAAAAGTTCCAATCTGTCTACTTGCTTAGCCGAATGCGAATGAGTCATTGAGCAAAATAAGATCTGACGGATACACAGGACGCGCTGTTTTACAAAATATCTAATTTCTAAAAACCATAAGCGAAAACGGCTCGTACACTTAACCTACGCGATTCGTGTATTTTACGGACTATTTACAATCGTAGAAACGATATATTAAAACGATATATGGTAACGCTCGAGAGTCAAGAACGAGTAGTGGGGCGTAAAGCGTGGACGGACCAAGCCATTTTCATCGACGTAGGTAAGTCGGTGCCTGTTCGAAATCAAAGGAGTAGAACAATAGATCGTAAGGCCTAGAGCTCGGAGAAAGGTAGTACGCCAGAAGTGATTTCAAGAGCGCCGCGCCGCGGGTGTTCGAAAGTATTTTCTCGATATCATTCACGCAGGTCAAGATCTCTTTTGGTATTGATGACCGTAAAAGGCATATCTGCAATTAAAAAACATTATTTGAAAACAATACAGTTCATCTTACGAGAGGGCACCGTCTATTCATGTAAAATTTGAGTATACAATGAAGCACATTCAATAAAGTAAAACGAATCCCGAGCCTAAACGGCTCTTTTGTTCCATCGCATTAATATGCTAATTCAATTATCCGCGTGGTTGCCAACAAGCCTTTCCCGACCCCCGAATCAATCGACCTTGAAAATCACGCCTCCGTTCCCCCTTCCACCTACGATCAGTAAACTAATTCGTAATCGGTAAAAAGATTCCCACGGTTGTGTCCCCTTGTGTGTGTTCAGTTCATCGATGTTTCTCGTATGTATCTCGTGTTTCAGCTCTCGAGCGCTGCCGATATAAGTATATTACGCCGTGTTTCCGCGCGGGAGATCAGAAATATGATATGAACTGAATGTGATCACGATATACGATTTTGAAAAACTAAATTTGCACGATCCTACCTATTCTGCTAGAGTTACATCATAATTGATCGCGAACGAATCTCAAATTTTGTGTTTCATCTGCTTTTCTGCTTTTTTTTTTGTCTTTCCAATTTTTATTCATTTTCATTCGTTAATATCTTCTTGTTCCTGGAATGTATGCAAGTTTTCCGTCCCTTCTAATCTTCCTTTTTGTTTAAATCGATGGGTTCAATATATCACGGGGACTGGTCGACGTAGTTGTTCCATATCCAACGTGGTAGGTGTAGCCGATGTAGGGGCATGCTGATGGGACGATGGTATAGGAGTAGATCCCGGACTGCTTCCAGGACTGCTGGTTGTTGCAATGCTTCCGGGATCAGTTGCCGCCGAAGATTGGAACACTAAAGGGGGGTGAGGCGTAGTCGCAGATACGCTGTGGTGCCCAGTTGGAAATAGTGGTCCCAGATGAGACGCCGTCGTCGGATACGGCTTAGCCCCTGACGTAGGTGTGGAATAGAATCCCGTGTAGAAGCTACTGACTACTGCTGCCGCAGAAGCTGCGTTATTGTTGGCCGCATCTGCTGCCGCGTTCGTCGATGGTGATCCTGTCCCACTACCAGCTACCAGCTTGCTCAAGTGGACGGGATCGAAGGCCGACCCAAAGTAGGGTGGCAAGGGCGGATAATCGAGAGGATGTGGATGGTGATGAGAGACTGATGTGGCAGGTGCAGCAAAGTATGGAGGTAGCGGAAAATTGGCGAAAGCACCTGAATTTATTGACACTGTTTTACCATTACCGATGGCTACTGGAATCTTTGGTTTTCTTCGTGGACGGTATTTGTAGTCCGGATGTTGCTTCATATGCACGGCACGCAGGCGTTTAGCTTCGTCGATGAAGGGTCGTTTTTCCGTATCAGAGAGAAGCTTCCATTCCGCACCAAGTCGTTTAGATATTTCTGAATTATGCATCTTAGGGTTATCTAATGCGATCTTTTTTCTTTGAATCCGAGACCATACCATAAACGCGTTCATAGGCCTCTTGATATGTTGCTCCTGCAGGGTTGGTGTCTGCTGGTTCATATCCTGGTTCACACGATGGATGGAATGGAGGTCCATGCCGGGGAGGAACCCATAGCTGGGATGCTGTTGGTGAGAGCTTATCATAGTCAACCGCCGTTATTATAAATGTAATAGATGGATGTGTTGTCAACTCGAATCGAACCTTTCGAATGTCTCTTTAACTTCACACAGTTGCGATAATCATCAAACTCAATGACGGTCTTTGTTTACACACCAAACCACTAACGGAATTTTCTGTTGTTTCTCGTAAATTTGAAGACACTGTATACAACTGGCAAGAAGAAAAGAAATACACGAAGAACGGAAAGGACAAACCTCCTAGGCGTAGGTAAACGAACTAAACAGTTGAACGTGCGCGTCTCGACTGCCAATGTCGACTGAACGTCGACTGACGAGCGACCGGTTTGTGACCTGCTGGGGGAATCCATTCTTCCTCTCTGTTTCTCTCTCTTTTCTCTGATAGATGTTTCTCTGTCCACCTGGATTTCGAGGGCGGAACCGACGCAGAGCGTCGTACGCCGCGCCCACGAACCGACCCTCTTCACGCTATTCGTCGAAGTTGCTTCGGTGCACACGTACGTGTTCTACCCTTTCTCCCTAGTAAACGACACCGACACACCAAACGAGGAACAGCAGCAACCCCTCTGAGCCGTAGCTGAACCGAGGAGGGCTGCTGCTGCCTCGGAGACCGCGAGCTGCAATTATTATTATCGATTACCTCGATACGATGAAGTACAAATAGCGTATAGGCTGCCCGTTATTGACTACCTCTGTTCGTGTACTGCTTTGCACGCCAACGGCGACGTGATATCGCGCGATAATTGGTTATGCTTATTCCCACCCCCGTTCATCCCTGCCGGCCCACCACGACGACGACATGGAGTATTCTTGGTCAACGAGCTCGAGCACTTTCGAGTGGATTAGGTCTTTCGCTTCGATCATCGTGCATTCTCCTCCATCTGACCTCGAAAGAAGCGAGTCTCGACCGGCATTTATATGATTCTCGTGATTAGAGTTTGGAATCTTGTTACGTTGGCATTTTCGTTTCATTTGTTTCATTATTTGAGATTTTAATTTTTGTGCTTTACTTATGGCTGGTTCGCAGGTAATGTCTAGCGGAGTAACAAGGAGGTACCGACCTTTTTATTTTTTGAGCGAGGATTTTTAGCAGAATTATTTTTACTCTTCTGGAGATACATACACAAACTATTTTTTAAATTTTCATTTTGCGCAGCGGGTATTAAAAATCCTTCCTGTTCTATATTTTTCAATGACGAAATATCCATGATGCTAATTATTTTCCTTAATCAACAGTCATAAACGTTATTGCTTTTCTTTCATCCTATCTAATGAAATTAATCGCGTTACGAGGCCAATAGTCTAACACAATTGCGAAGACGAATGATCAGCGTCGTTTCTTTGCCAGGCGACTAATTCAGGGTCGTCGTTTTGTCGAGTAATTAATCAGAATTCGTATGTTGGTGTCCTTCTTTCGCCCCGCAGAAACAATGAAAGGCAGAAATCTGCCGGTTCCTTTCCTGTGGGAAATCTGAGGAACAATGAAAAAAATCTCTCGACGACAGGCACTTGGATTAGAATGGAAAGCAACAGCGGCGAAAGGAGCGAGCGGTGCCCCTTTCCCAATCTCGACTCACCGCGCCCTCCGCTCCCAAAGGACATTCAGCAATGCGAACGAATAAAAGCTCCTGTGCTCTCTCCCCCTCTCTCCTTTCCACCCATTCCGTCTCTCTCTATCGGTGAACTGCATTAGTCGTTTGTGCTTTTGTGTCGCGAAGGCGCGTACGCCTCGCTGCGGTGTCTCCTTACTTCGATTTTCAAATAATCGATTAAGCTTCCTCCGGCATTTTGGAACGAAGTGGCGGTCGACCGAGCAGTATCGTATCGACTTAACGATTATTACTTCAAGAGTTATTCCAGTTATAACAATGAGATCGAACAGGACAATTTTTCTCGGTATATAATTTCGTATCTGCGGAGAAGTTTCTAGGAATGTTTTCCAGGGAATATTATTTTAAAGAGTTTTCGGAATTTATTCGTACGACCGTAGAGAATATTGCTGCGTATCTATTGTCTGGTCGTATAATAGCGAGAATCTGCCGAATAAAACTGCTATCAAAATCTGCTGCTATTTAAAAAAATCGTCGATGGCGCTCGCCGAAGCGACGTGGAACGGGAGGATGACGTAGCGCCAATAAGAGAACGGTAAACAGAGGGAGGAAGCGATTATAGCGCAAAAAAAAGAGGAAGGAGAGCGAGGAAAAGAGAGGAGCCGGACTCTTCCGGGGGAGGAAAAAAATCCGTCGGCGGATGGTCGCCATTCCGTCGGTCCGGATTCTGGGAAATACGTGCACGGTCCCCCGTGGACTCACACAAGTCGGCCAGGCTACCAATACACGTCCTATCTTTCTCTATGCAGTTAGGTGCAAATTGGTATTGAAAAATCTCGAAGTCAATTAAAACTCGAGATACAAAGGATTTGGCGAGACAAAATACCAATTATCTCATGTCCTCCGCCTCTGCCTGTCCCTTCGATTCCCTCCACCGCCGCCCCCGAGGGGTGCA